AAAACTGAGCAGGCCAAGAAGGGAGTGACATGACATACTCAAAGTGCTGAAAGGAAAAAACTTCCAACCAAGAATACTCTACCCAGCAAGTTAACACTCAGAAGTGAAGGAGAGGGAGTTTTTCAGATAAGCAAACGCTAAAGGAGTTCAGCACCACTAAATGGTTTTTCAAGAAATGTTCAAGGGACCTTTAAAAGAAAAGAAACAGTATTAATTAACAAGAAAACATATGAAAGTAAAAATCTCTCTGGAAAGGTAAAAATGTAGTGAAGGTGGTGGATAAATCAACTTATAAAGCTAGTATGAAAAGACAAAAATAGTAAAATAAACTAAAACTACAATAATTAAAGGATACATAAAATAAGGGGTAAAAAGTGACATCAAAACATAAAATGTGGGGCACCGGGGCGCCCAGGTGGCTCAGTCATTTAAGTGTCTGCCTTCATCCCAGATCATGATCTCGGGGTCCTGGGATCAAGCCCCATGTCGGGGTCCGTGCTCGGTGGGGAGTCTCCTTCACCCTCTGCTTCTGACCCCCTCCCCTGCTTGTGCTCTCATTCTGTCTCTCTCAAATAAATAAAATAAAATAAAATAAAAATGTGGGGCGCCTGGGTGGCTCAGTGGGTTAAAGCCTCTGCCTTCAGCTCGGGTCATGATCCCAGGGTCCTGGGATTGAGCCCTACATCGGGCTCTCTGCTCAGCGGGGAGCCTGCTTCCTCCTCTCTCTCTTTGCCTGCTGCTCTGCCTACTTGTGATCTCTCTGTCAAATAAAAAATTAAATCTTTAAAAAAAAATTAAAAAAAAAAACAAAATTTTGGGGGTGTGGTAAAAACAGAGTTTTGGATGAGTTCAAGTTTAATTTGGTATCAAGCTGAAATAGACTGTTCTAGTCATAGGATGTTACATATGTTATAAACATAGATTAGCCCATGGTAACCACAAAGCAAAAACTTACAGAAAATAAAAGAAAATGAGAAAGGAATCTAAACACAACACTAAAGAAAGACAACAAACCACAAGGGAAACAATATCCATGGGAAAGTAAGGAAAACTGATATAGCTATACTCATATCAAACACAATAAGCTTTAAAACAAAGACTAATAAAAGACAAAGAAGGGCATTACATAATGATAAAGGGGTCAATGAAGCAAGAAGATGTAAAGTTCATAAGTATATATGTACCCAATATAGGACCACCAAAATATATAAAGAAAATATTAATACATTGAAAGGGGGGAAATTGACAGCAATACAGTAATGACAGGGAACTTTAACACCTTACTTACATCATCTGACAGAAATAAGAAAATCAGTAAGGAAACATCAGCCTTAAATAACACCTTAGACCAGGTGGACCTAATAGATATATACAGAACATTTCATCCAAAAGCAGCAGAACACACATTCTTCTCAAGTACACATGGAACACTTTCCAGGATAGATCACATGTTAGCCCACAAAAAAAAGTCTCAATAAATTCAAGACTGATATCATATCAAGCACCTTTTCCACCACAATGGTATAAACTAGAAATCAACACCAAGAAGAAAACTGGAAAACCAGAGGCAGACTACCACGTTGTGGAGAGGATCATGTGGCCGGCAATGTCAGCAATCTCTCAGAGATGTGGGCCTCAGTCTTACAACTACGAGAACATGAATTCTGCCAACTTAAATAAGCTTAGAAGATTTGGTGAGAATGCACTCTAGACAACACCTGGATTTCAGCCCTGTGAGGCAAAGCAGTCAATCCAATGACATACCATGTCTAGATTTCTGATCTACAGAAACTGTGGGGTAATAAACATTTTTAGCCACTAGATTTGTGGTAATTTGTTAAACAGCCACAGAAAACTAATACAATAAATGAACTGTAGTCTTTAAAATTGTCAAGGTCACGAAAGACCGAAAAAAGTAAAAAACTTTTACAGATTGGAGGAGACTAAGGAGACAAGGCAACTAAAGGCAGTTTGTATTCTTGGAACAAAAAACAGAAGTTAATGGGAAAAACTGAAGAGATCTGAATAAATCCTATAGTAAAACATTGTACCAAGGCTAATTTCTTCATTTTGATAATTCTTCTATGATTATGTAAGATTTTAACATAAAGGGAAACCAGGTAAAGGGTATACAGGAATTCTCTATACAATTTTTTGCAACTCCATTATAAATCTAAATTTATCTAAGAAATTGTCTCTAAATATTATTTCTACTAGACAATAATAGAGCTCTTTGATATGACAGCTGACTCTAGGTGTGAAGCAAGAAATTCACAAGATGAGCCTTGCATTAGCCAGAGAAAAATAAATAGGATAATTAGTCAGCTCAAGTGATCCCAAGATCTGAAGGGTGAGTCATGAAGCCTGAGACCCAGGAGAGTGGTTTAGCTCTGGTCTAAGCAGAAAAGCCTGAGAAATAAGAGAACCAATGGTGTAGTTCCTGTCTGAAGGCTGACAGGCTTGAAATTCAAAACAAGCTGATACTTCAGTTCAAGTATGAAGACAGGAAAAAAGCTGAAGTCCCGATTAGAAGGCAGTCAGGAAGGAGGAAGGAGCAGTTTCTTTTTATTCAGCCATTTTGTCCTATTCAGGCCTTCATCTGATCAGATGAGACCCACTCACATTAAAGAGAACAATCTGCTTTACTCACTGTGCCAATTTAAATGTTAATCTCACCCCAAAACACCCAGGATAATGTCTGACCAACTCTCTGGGCACCACATGGCCCAGTGAAAGTCAACACACAAAATTAACCATCACTAGCCCAGGCATTTTGTTCTGACAGAAAGGAAGGAAGCTATCACAGATTAAAGGAATCTCGTTAAAAGGTCACAAAACCAATAAAGGCATCCATTGGCCAAAAATGGGACAATTTGAGCATCAAAAATAATAATAAAGGTAATTAATTCAAGTATTAAAGACCCATGAGTCCATAAAGATTTTTTACAAAAAGAAAAAGTCAAAAACTAAAGAAAACTTTTAAAAACAACATTGACGGACACAATGGAAGTGACCAGAGCACCAGCTCTGAAAGTTAAGTATATGTCTCCCTTTCCAGTAATAACTATATTTCAGGTACCAAATAATCCTAGTTGTTGCGGGAAAGTTCTTTACACAGGAATTTCAGCTAATCAAATGTGAAAGGAATAACAAAATTAGAAAATCAGTGTTTTGCAACCCCTAATGAAAGGAAAGATTCATTGGTGAAACCACAGGTGGAAGGTTCATCAGGAATTTTACAGCAGAGGAACCAGAATGCCTCACCAGAGGTACTAGAATGTACATGTTTATCAACACTAGCATCACTACAAGTGGACCAAGCAGACACATCATGTGCCTGCAGATGTGGTACAATATCAAGCATAGCATCACCTATGGAGTGATTGCCAGAAAGTTCTACCTAAATCTAATCATGCCTTTAGGATTAACTTCCATTTTGAAAAAAATGTAGACGTTAGGGAAACAAATTAAATGAACAAAGGAGAAAGCAAACAGGCAAATTCAGAATATGGGATATCAAAAAACAGCTGGCCTACTTTAACAAGTTAGAAACATGAAGTTAAAAAAAAAAAAAAGGATGGGGGTGCCTGGGTGGCTCAGTCAGTTAAGCATCTGACTCTTCACTTCCGCTCAGGTCATGATCTCAGGGTTGTGAGATAGAGCCCCATATCAGTTCTGCACTAGGCATGCAGCCTGCTTAAGATTCTCTCTATCCTCTTCCCTCTGTCCCTCCCCCCAGCCTCTTTCTCCCACTCTTAAAAAAAGAAGAGGGCAGGACCGTTTTAGATTAAGAGGTACCTAGCAGACATAACAACCAAATATACTGTATGAACCTTATTTGGATCCTGATTAAAACAAACCAACTGTTAAAACAGATTTTGATACAATCATAAAACGTTGATTATGGAATGGCATTAAACAATACCTAGAATTTACTGTTAATTTTAGTAGTTGAGATAGTGACATTATTCTACCACTATGTAAGAAAGTATCTTTATTTTGTAAGATGCATACTGAGGTATACATGAAAGTGGTGATATGATATCTGGGATTTTCTTTAAAATTAAAGAAAAAATAAGAGTAAAAAGAAGAGGAAAATATCTAATCCCTAGGATCTTATTGCTCAGAGTTGAAAAATCATGTCTAAGCCTTATGAATTTGGAACTCAGAGGAATGGATACCACTTTTAAAAAGTTGCTTTTGCTATTCCTCACAATATCCTACAAAATGTTGAATATACAGCAGGAACTTGAAAAATTCTGAAATATCAGAGAAACTTTCATTTAAGAGAACTCATTTCTAATCTTTTTTACCACCCTCATTCTTTAAAATATTTAGAAGTTTCCACGAAAAAATTATCTCCATATTTTAGGAATTATATAGATACTGTACTTGAATTCTTCAAGGCAGTATTTCAAAATCAAAAATAAGTAAATCATACCCAATACATACATGTTCACTTTCTACCACTGAATAATGTACATGTTTAATCTCAATAAATTCAAAAAAGGTACTCTTAAATTTTTGTCTTTCGAATTTTATGGAAAGTAGCCGAATTTTACTTATATGAACAAAACTGTGGAAGTCAGTAATTATGGGTTTCATGTTTATGAAAAAAAATTAAACAACAACAACAAAAAAAAGTTGAGTCTTACTGTTACAGGCACTATTCCAAGTGCTTTGCATGTAGTGACTCATTAATTATTAAAACTCCTACAAAACGGATACGATTATAATTGCCATTTTATAGAGGAGGCAGAAAAGTAAAGTCAGTTTACCCAGGGCTCCAGAGCATGCTTACATACAGCCGTACTAGGATTTAAAGTCATACAGTCTAACTCCAAAACCCAGCTCTTTACCACTACATTGGTCTGACTTACGATGAGTCATCCTTTACCTGATCTTATTATCTATCTACTCAATTCCAGCATCAGCAGCTGGTTTTCATGATTTCCAACGAAAAAATGAAGAAAAAAAAGTCAATGAATAGTAAAATGTACCTTTTGAATGGCCTCTTCCATATCCAACTCAAATTGTTCATCCTGTAATAATCTGAGGAATCTCTTGCGCTCCACGAGGTCATCACTTTCATTCTGTACCATTTGGTCCCTGATTTGATTGTGTATCTTTCTTATGGACTGGGCATGCAGTTGTTTGCAGTAATTTGTGTCTACTTGTTTCTGATGCCTTTCACTGAAGCTCAAAGTTCGCCTTCTAGAAGCCTATAATGGGGGGAAAAAGTACTCATACTTTGGTATTCCAATATCTAATTTTTAAAAGTATACCGCTGCAAGCCCCTGGTACAAAAATAGATAACAGAATAAACAAAGGGCCCTTGGCTTCCTTCCTAAATTCAGAGAAATGTAACATAATAAAAAAGTACATATGGCAGATAAACATAATTGATATATCAATAAATTACTTTTATTATTCCCCATCTTATAGATGAGATATGAAAAGTAAAAGCAACTTTACCCAAGTTTCCTCGGCTTAAATAAATAACAGTACTAGTATTCAAAGACACGCAGGTGAGCTCTATAGACCTAGCTCTTTACCACAACACACTGAATTCCTCTTCTCATTCCCCGCTACACACCGCCATCCCCCCCAGCCTCCTTTACCCCTTGGCCTGAAAGTATCATTCAGAAAGAAGCTGGTCAGGTTTTCCTAATACAGATTTAACAGGTCAACCTGCTGCTACCTAATTCATCTGCTCTCTCCTGGACTTTCTTCCCCGCTTATTTGTTCAAGGTTCTTAATCTTTTCCCAAATTTCCAGAAATATGGCAAAAAAAAAAAAAAAAAAAATGGGGGGGTGCCAAACAAAATTTTCATCAGGCAGATCTAATAGAGTCTGGGGAAAATCTGAAAAAGGCTGGAAGCCACCGGGAGCGTTGCTTAAACAATAGCACATGAGGCTTCTGAAAGCAAATTGAACAAGCTCTCCCACTTAATTCTCCGATTAGGCACTCCAAATCCTATTTTTAGATGCATCCGGCTCTAAACTACAATTAAATCAATGGATAAACAAATAGTTTCGAGACCCCCGACAGGCTTACCATCTTGGCGGAGGAAAATCCCGCTCTGAGGATCCAGCCGCTACCACCGCTCGCTGCAAAAGCGATGGCGGGCTGAGAGCTCCGATGTTTAAGAGGTTTCCTGGCAACTGCCGCCTCCCTAGAGAGCGCAGGGCCCACCTGCGCAGGGTGCGGTCTCCCATTGGGCGCAGAAAGAGCCAATCGGCACTGAGCTTCTTGGGAGGCTGGCTGGGAGGCTACTTCTCCAGCTCTAAGAGACAGGCGGGAAGTTCGGATCCCCTATCGTGGCACATGTGCTTTGCAGTGCCTTAGGGCGCTCACGATTTCCCACAAGCGGCTGAATTCTGTGATTTGGGTGGGGCTGGGAGTCAAGGGGAGGTCTGTGGAAACTGTTTACACAGAAATACGCAAACTCCTGTCTAGTACATCGTGCCAAAGTACTTTCTACTCAGAACATCCTGTGCCCTCAATGCCCATTCTGCCTGTGTTGAGGGCTGGCTTCATCTCTAGCAGGAGGAGGCACGGTCACCGTCCCTCTAGATAGGTAACTGTGAGGCTTTTTGGGTAGCGTGTACTTGCAGCCGCCTTCACCTCAACCCCCGACAGATGTTGGTAAACTCTGGTAATAAAATGTATGGGTCACTGGGACACTGGGACGCTCTGCCGTGGAATACATAATCCAGGTGCCAGTGAGGCAGATAGATGGTGGCAGCAGTGATCAAGTTTATTTCATTGGCCGGTAAACGCTAAAGTCCATTTAAAATGGAAGCATTTAAGAATAGGAATGGGTCAGGGAAATTAGTAAAATAAATTCATTTTAGAGAGGACAGAGAAATCCCTTAAAAACAACAACACAGGAGCACCTGGGCGGCCCAGTGGATTAAAGCCTCTGCCTTCAGCTCAGGTCATGATCCCGAGGTGCTGGGATGGAGCCCCATGTCAGCTCTCTGCTCAGTGGGGAGCCTGCTTCCCTTCCTCTCTCTGCCTGCCTCTCTGCCTACTTGTGATCTCAGCCAAATAAATAAAATCTTAAAAGCAACAACAACAACAACACAATTAAAGGTAGTGTGAGAACCTGACTTAGTTCGTGTTACCTGATTTGAAGTCCACCATGGGCAGCAATATGTCTGCTTCACCATCACTAGCCGTCAGGGAGATACAAATCAAAACCACATTGAGATACCACCTTACACCAGTTAGAATGGCCAAAATTAGCGAGACAGGAAACAACGTGTGTTGGAGAGGATGTGGAGAAAGGGGAACCCTCTTACACTGTTGGTGGGAATGCAAGTTGGTGCAGCCACTTTGGAGAACAGTGTGGAGATTCCTCAAGAAATTAAAAATAGAGCTTCCCTATGACCCTGCCATTGCACTACTGGGTATTTACCCCAAAGATACAGATGTAGTGAAAAGAAGGGCCGTCTGTACCCCAGTGTTTATAGCAGCAATGACCACGGTCACCAAACTGTGTAAAGAACCAAGATGCCCTTCAACGGACGAATGGATAAGGAAGATGTGGTCCATATACACTATGGAGTATTATGCCTCCATCAGAAAGGATGAATACCCAAGTTTTGTAGCAACATGGACGGGACTGGAAGACATTATGCTGAGTGAAATAAGTCAAGCAGAGAAAGTCAATTATCATATGGTTTCACTTATTTGTGGAGCATAACAAATAACATGGAGGACATGGAGAGATGGAGAGGAGAATGGAGTTGAGGGAAATTGGAAGGGGAGGTGAACCATGAGAAACTACGGACTCTGAAAAACAACCTGAGGGTCTTGAAGGGGCTGGGGGTGGGAGGTTAGGGGAACAAGGTGGTGGGTCTTAGGGAGGGCACGTATTGCATGGAGCACTGGGTGTGGTGCAAAAACAATGAATACTGTTATGCTGAAAAGAAATTTAAAAAAAAAAGATTAAAAACCAAGAGAACTTCCAGTTTTAGCTCCAAAATGTAAAAACTTGATGTTATCCCTTCCATCCTCACTACCGGAAGAAGCTGAACAAACTAAAAACTAAAATTTTTCTTGGAGTCATCACAGAACTGAGGTCACAGGACACACCACAACCCTGAAGTCTGGAGGGATGAGAGGAGTCATATCCGAGACCCACTTACTTAGAGCAGAAGTCTCTGAAGCCATAATGGACGAATACTTGAATGGTAATTTTGATGAACTCCTGGAGACTGGGTGGGGCTAGTGTGAGTAAAGCTCCTGGAGACTGCAGTCTTGGGAGGCACCAACACTTCCATGGGTTTTGTTTCCAGGAACTCCAGCAAGTTCTCACCATGAAAAACCAAGAAAGATCTCTTGTGGCTCTAGCAGGGGGATAAGATTAATAATTACTGTCAAATACATCCAGAGCCTTCTCCTTAATAAAGGCCTACTTTCCAGAAGAAAAGACTTTAGCAAAGCCATATCCCACCCAGGGCAAGGACAGTTCTCTGACCACAGCGTCCTCCAGCCTTTCTGTCTCTTGTAAGTAGAGAGAAGGGAGGTAAGAAACACTTGTGAAGGTCACAGGACACTAAAAGAGGTTTAATGTTAAATGATAGAATACTCTTCTTCCCACACTTTCCCACTGCACCAACAGTGCTTCCATATAATAACAGTTAAGGATAGCTGCAAGGACTGCAAACACACACTAACAAGGAATGCTTAGAGAAATCCAAAGACAGGGGCGCTTGGGTGGCTCAGTGGGTTAAGCCTCTGCCTTCGGCTCAGGTCATGATCTCAGGGTCCTGGGATCGAGCCCCACATCAGGCTCTCTGCTCAGCAGGGAGCCTGTTTCCCCTGCTCTCTCTGCCTGTCTCTCTACCAACTTGTGATCTCTGTCAAATAAATAAAATCTTAAAAAAAAAAAAAAGAAAGAAAGAAATCCACAGACAACAGGAGACAAAAAACAAAAACACTAGGGGAATTAAAAGCTTCTAGAATGAAGAGCTACCGCAAATATTAAACACAACCCAACTCCTAGTCACAGAATAAAAACCCTCATATCCCTATTTATCTCCATCCCTATTAACCAAGATACCACAGCCAGTTTTCAATAAAGAACAGCAAGGCTAAAGGCAAGAAAGAACTCAGTCTGCAAAGCAAATAAGCATCAGAACTACACTGAGCTATGACACAGATTTGGAGGATTATTAAAAAGTAATATAAAATCACTATGCTTAATATGGTAAAGGATCTGATGGAAAATGGTTCAACAGATGAGTAACATAAAAAGGGAAATGGCAACTGAAATAATCCAAAGGAAATTCTAAAAATAAGAAACAATGTAACAAATGAAGGATGCCCTTCACAGGCTTATAGGAAGGTGGACAACACTGTGGAGAGAATCAGTAAGCTTGAAGATAAGTCAAGAGACACTTCCCGAACTGAAATGCAAGGAAATTAGCAGTAAATAGATAATCCTATTGGGTTTGTGGACTTCATCTTAGAATCAAATTGTTTCCTACCTTAGAAGAGGACTGTGTGTTGGCGGGGGGGAGGGGGGGGAATGGTAATTGTCCAAGCTTCTGTATTTTGGGAGATCATATAAATCCAGTTACCACAAAAGCCAAATTGACCATACGGATACAGTGCAAAACATTCTGAAAGCGTTTAATCCTGTTTGATGAGAAATGTCGACAAGAATTCTACAAAAAACATGATTTATATATAGCTTCTTATAAAGTAGACTTTAACCAAAATTTTGCTAGCTGGGCTGTCAGAAAGAATTTTTGTTTTGGTTTGAACACTGATTAGTGCTTAGTATATCATAAGTAATAAACAAATATTTGTTAAATGAACAAATGACTGAAATTATATTACTGATATGCACATAGGAGAAAGATCTACCCAGAAATTACTTTTAAGACAGATTGCTCATCATTCAGAATTTTATCAAATTTACTCATGTTTTCAAAGAGCAAACTTTTTGTTTTATTAATTTATATATATACACATGCATGTGTGTGTGTGTGTGTGTGTGTGTGTGTGTAATTTGTTTGCTTCCAATCCCACTGTTTGCTGCTCTTACCATCATTATATTCTTCCCTGTTTGCTTCGGGTTTAATTTGCTCTTTTCTTTATAGTTTCATAACGTGGAAGCTTAAATCTTCACTTTACACCTGTCAGAATGGCTAAAATAAAAAACACAAGAGATAACAAGTGTTGTTGAGGATGTGAAGAAGAAGGAACCTTCATGGACTGCTGGTCAGAATGCAAATTGGTGCAGCCACTATGGAAAACGGTATGGAGTTTTCTCAAAAAGATTAAAGATAGAATTACCATATAATCATATAATCCAGGACTTCTATTACTGGGTATTTTACTTAAAACAACAACACCACCAAAACACCAATTTAAAAAGATATAGGCCCCCCTATGCTTATTGCACATTATTTACAATAGTGAAGGTATAGAAGCAACTCAAGTGCCCATCCATAAGTGAATGGACAAAGAAGAGGTGGTATATATATGCATATACCACCTTCATGCAGCCTGACATGGGGCTCCATCTCACGACCCTGAGATCATGACCTGAGTCGAAATCAAGAGTCAGATTCTTAACCTGTTGAGCCACACAGGTGCCCCTTTTACACATTTTTTACAGTTTTTTTTTCTTGATTTTTGGTGGGTTTCATAATGTTGGATTGAATGCCAGACCTAGAGACCAAGGTAAAGCATATTTAGGCCTGGAATAAACACCCCTAGTCTCCTGCTGTAACATTAGTGGAGGAGGTTGAGCCCATGTAGTCAGGAGTCGAGCTGGATTTGAACTTGGTGTTGCTATGGTTATTTTCAGTACACCGCTGTCTTCATATATCTTCCATGTTATCTTGTGCTTATGTTGGGGCCTAGTTTTCCAGAAGGCTTCTCTCAATGTTCCTGGTTCACCTTCAGCTTAAGGCCTTCCCTATGTTCCTGGCATGTCAGAGACTGTCTCTCTCCACAGTCCAGCTCCCCGCCCCAACTCCACAGGAGATGGCTGCTCTTGGTGCATGGTGGGAAGAGGGGCTTCTCCGTTATTCTTGTCCAGTCGTGTTAGATGAGTTCTGGCAAACTAGTTGTGGGGCCTCATAAATTGGAAAAACTTTCCTTAATGGTAAGTACTCACTGTGTTTTCTTGCTGCTTTTTAAAAAAGTCTAAAACCCTTAAGCTGGGCTTTAAAGGCTTGTATGTCTACCTCTTCAGGTTTCTTCTTCAAACTTCAGCCAAAATGGATTTCTTTGAGCTCCTTCCTTCCAGAAGGCCTTTGCATGTGTGGGTCTTTGCCTTAATAAGAGCATGTGATGACCGAAACCCCACCAGTCGTCTTGTCGATGAATAATGCATGCTCTGGATGGCAGAACAGAAAAATAGAACGAGCCTCAGTTCTTCATGACCACAGAGCTACTGTACCAGCCCTGGGCTGCCTGACTCCTGGCCTCAAGCTGTGTCAAAGAAGAGGAAGTTCCTAATTTATCTAAGCCTCTGTGTCCTCTTCTTCACTCAGGATTCTATTATTATTATTAGCCAAATGCAGTTCCTAACAAACCACCATCTCTGTTTAATCTCATGGGTGAAAATTATTAAGAAAATCAGAACCACCTGGGTTACTCAGTTAAGCATCTGCCTTTGGCTTAGGTCATGATCCCAGGGTCCTGGGATTGAGCCCCAAATGGGGCTCCCTGCTCAGCGGAGAGTCTGTTCTCCCTCTCCCCCTGCTTGTGCTTGCTCTATCAAATAAATAAATAAAATATTTTTTTAAAAAAACAAAGCTTTTTGTAGCATTAATTGCCTTTTTACATCAATATTTGATTTTATAAATTAGAAGGTAGAGTAGAAAACCTGATTTCCTTTCTCACATTTTCCTCCCTAATTTCTAGAAGCTATTAGCCAGTTCCCGTCCCATAGTCCCTGTGCTCTCAAAGTCTTATCACAACTTTTAATCTCAGTTTTGATTTCCAAAGTACCCATCAAACATGGTAATAACTCCCAGAGTCATGTCATTTCCACATTGGAGAAGCATGCCTTTTGTATTTTCAGATACTTCAAGAATAAAAATGTAGACAAGGCTGCAAGAACGCAAAGGCCTGACATACCCCACTGGAGCAGCTTTTCTGAGGGGAACCAGATCAGCCAACTTTGAGTATGGTCAACTAGCTG